CTTGCTTGCCCTCTGCTCACTTCCTGCTGTGTGACCTGGTTCCTAACAGGACTGGGCTGTGGACTGGAACCTTTTGGCACCACGTGCCAGTTTCGTGGAAGACAATTTTTCTATGGAAGAGGGGTCTGGGACAGGAGGCAGAGCTCAGGTGGTGAGGCTGTGTGGCCCAGTTCCTAATAGGCCATAGCCGAGGGGTTACTGCAGAGTTAATGCACCCACAGATGAATATACTTACAGCTAGAATTCACAGGACTCAGCATTAATTTTATTCTGAATTTTGAAAATTAGATACAAGCTTGAGAAATACTTATGTCATAAATAAGTTAGATGACAATTGAAAGATTTTGCAGTAGCAGTACCACTTAGTTTTTTGAATTTCTTTCTTTCTTTTTTTTTTTTTTTTGAGACAGAGCCTCAAGCTGTTGCCCTGGGTAACTCCTGGGCTTAAGCGATTCTCCTGCCTCTACCTCCCAAGTAGCTGGGACTACAGGCGCCCGCCACAACGCCTGGCTATTTTTTGGTTGCAGCTGTCATTGTTTGGCAGGCCTGGGCTGGATTTGAACCCACCAGCTCAGGTGTATGTGGCTGACACCTTAGCCGCTTGAGCCACAAGTGCTTAGCCAGTTTTTTGAATTTCTTTAAGTGTCGTTACCCAAAAAATGTATAACATAGGAAAAGACCAGAAAATGTACTACTGGTCCTGTCTAGAGGTTTTTATACATTGTATAGTAGAATAAGAGGATTTAGGAAGGGAAAAAGATACAGTCTTTTAGCTAAGTGGGAGAAGGAAGATTATGTAAAGGCCCGGGGGGAAAGGAGACCCCATGTGATGCCATTGTTATACGTGTGTGCGTGTTCTTCTCAGTCAATTTAGAAAAGCATATATTTGGAGATTGAGAATCTGGATATTTATGCCGTAAAACCGTACATGCCCACATACTTTTTGGAAAGTCTTTAGGATTACACAAATCTCAACCTAAAGAAAGCCTTTTAAAGTAGTAATCGGAAATCAGCCAACTTAAAAATCAGCCATCCTAATCCTTTTTTAGGATATAGACAAAGAAATACAATACTCCTCTATGAAACATAGCATATAAGGTGACATTTGATAAAGGTTTGTTATTTTAATTTTTTTAAGGTTTGTTATTTTAAAAAGTACATTGAAAAAAGTTTTGCTTTGGCTCAGCACCTATAGCTGGCCACATAAACCAAAGCTGGTGGGTTTGAGCCTGGCCCGGGCCTACTAAACAACAAAGACAACTGCAACCAAAAAAGTAGCAGGGTGTTGTAGTGGGTGCCTATAATCCCAAGCTACTTGGGAGGCTGAGGCAAGAGAATCTCTTAAGCCCAAGAGCGTTGGAGGTTGCTGTGAGCTGTGACGTCACTGCACTCTACTGAGGGTGACATAGTGAGACTCTGTCTCAAAAAAAAATTTTTTTTTTTTTTTGCTTAAAATTGTTCTGCTATTTGAATTTGCATTCTGTCTTCCTTCTGTTAGAGTCTTATTTGCACTAATACAGCACTGAAATTGCTTCAGTGGGCTCACCAAGGCTTTACTATCGATGAATCCATGGGACATTTAATAATAATCTTTGACTTCTTGTTAGCTTTTGTTGCACTTAACCACCCAGAAAAGCACATATTGTCTTTCCACAATTTTCTGGGACATGAAGTTCTCTGGATTTTCCTTCTGCTTCTATTTGCTCTTTTTTTGTAGTTTGATTTTCAGGCTCTTCTTTCTTAACCTCTTTATTAAATGTTGGTGTTTTCTAGAATTCTGCCTTAGGCCTCCTGTCATTTTATTCACATTCCCAGAGGCACCTCACTCTGTGGTTTCAGTTAATACCCATCTACATCTCCAGCCCCGGTGGCTCTCCTGCCTGATATTTAGACTAGTGTATCTAACTGTCATGTGTCCTTGACACTGCCACCTATGAGTTTACTCAAACGCACACTTTGAAACCGAACCCCTCACCTCCCCCCAATAGGTTTCAATAGACTTCTCTGTCTCAGTAAATGGCACCTCTGTGTGAGTGGCTTCATAGGCCATCCTAAGTGTCATTCTTTTTTTTTTTTTTTTTTTTGAGACAAGAGTCTCAGACAGCTCACAGCAACCTCAAACTCCTGGGCTCAAGTGATTTTCTTACCTCAGCCTCTCCAGTAGCTGGAACTATAGGTGCCTGCCACAACCCCTGGTAATTTTTTTTTGTTGTTTAGCAGGCCTGGGCCGGGTTCAAACCCACCAGCCCCAGTGCATGTGGCTGGCACCCTAATTGCTGAGCTATGGGCACCCAGCCCGGATTGTCATTCTTTTTTTCTTTTTTTTACGTGAGTTAATTTTTTTATGTCCAAGCACAAGGATAATGAAATATGTTTTCCATGCAAAATATTGTATACATTAAATAACATACACTGGTAACAATGCAGCGTAGGTTTCCTGGGAAGCAAATTCTGTGATAGAAATATACATGCAGGGTGGCGCCTATGGCTCAAAAGGGTAGGGCGTCAGTCCCATATGTGGGAGGTGGCAGGTTCAAACCCAACCCCAGCCAAAAAAAAAAAAAAAAGATTAGAAAACAAGTACTAAAAAAAAAAGAAATATACATGCGGGAAGTATATTTATCGGGCAGTGCTTTCTAAATGAGGACCGGTGAGAGTGGAAGAATGAAGCAGGATAGACAGAGCAAGAAGTTGAACTCTATCGAAGTCCCAACACTGAGTGTCATTCTTAATTCCTTCTTTTCTTTACCCCTCATGATGCCAATTAATGCTTTTTTTTGAGACAGAGTCTCACTTTGTTGCCCCTTGGTAGAATGCCATAGCATCACAACTCACAGCAACCTTAGACTCTTGGGCTCAAGCAATACTCTTCCCTCAGCCTCCCAAGTAGCTGGGACTACAGGTGCCCGCCACAACACCTGGCTATTTTGACAGATAGGGACTCACTCTAGTTCAGGCTGGTCTCGAACCTGTGAACTCAGGTGATCCACCTAACTTGGCCTCTGAGAGTGCTGGAATTACAGGTGTGAGCCACCGCGCCTGGCCCAGTTCTTCTACTTCCTAAGAAGAAGGAATATATTAGAAAAATCCATCGACATCTAGCTGTCCTTAGTGTTGCTATCCTTGTGAAACCAATTTTTCTAGCTTCTGTAATTCATAAAAATCTTCCTGTTTTGCTTTTCTTCAATTCATGGCTGTACATGGGAGCAAGAAAGGCCCATTGAAGATTTCAATCTCATCTTGGTGTCCTTGGTTAAAATCCTTCAAAGGCTTCACAGTGCCCTTAAGGTAAATCTCAGGCACTTCAACACTGTGGTCCCCAACCCCTGACCCTGGACCAATAGGAGCCATGCCCTAGAGCTCTGCCTCCCCCAGTCTTTCTCCATGGAAAGATTGTCTTCCATGAAACATAAGAACCTGGTTGCATAGCAGAAGCTGAACAGCATTGATTTAGTGAAGAGCTTCAACTATATTCTGAAAGTGTTCTTGGAGCCTCTGATCAGAGTTGCAGGGAGAAGGAACTGTAGATGGGATGATTGATTTTTTTTTTTTTTTTTTTGAGACAGAGCCTCAAGCTGTCCCCCCTGGGTAGAGTGCCTGGCATTACAGCTCACAGCAACCTCCAACTCCTGGGCTCAAGCGAGTCTCCTGCCTCCGCCTCCCAAGTAGCTGGGACCACAGGCGCCCGCCACAACGCCCGGCTATTTTTTGGTTGCAGCCGTCATTGTTGTTTGGCGGGTCCGGACTGGGGATTCGAACCCGCCACCTTAGGTGTACGTGGCTGGCGCCTTAGCTGGTTGAGCTATAGGGGCCGAGCCGGGATGATTGATTTGAAGGGAGGTCGGGACTCTCACTGGTTGGCGACCCGGCCTAACTTTACTGATTATCTTATATACTTTCAAACATTCACAGAATTTAACACAGATACAAAGAAGTGAAGTAATATTAGGAAGTTGCCATTAAGATTACAATTTAGTGTTAGGGCTGAGGAACACATATACAGTTGATTTTGTTTAGAATAAAAACATAAGGTAGACTGCTTGTCTGTCCTTCCTGGCCCAAACCAAAACTAGAGATTATAATGTTGATGAAGGAAGAAGACAGAGAACAGAACCCAACGCTCAAGGACAAGGTCCCAGCTGCGACCCGGCTTTCTAACAAAGAGAGGTAATCTGCATATTCCTGCATATCTATAGGCAGGTGCAGAAGCTCGATCTTTGAAGAAATCTTTCTCAGAATCAATCTCCTGGGAGAACACATTGAAGCGAACTGCCATGTTTGAGCATGGGGTGCTTATCTCTACAATATTCAAAGCTACTAGCTGCTTCCTATGATACCTATCACTGCCTGAGCTCTGACTACCCCCCAGCCAAACTCAACTGGGCAGCCCCTCTTACCTCTGTTGGTCTTTGGAAAAATTGTTTTCCACGATACCCATCCCTGGTGACAAAATACTTGGGGACTGCAGCTTTAACATCGATTACAGAGCTCTTTGGAGCCTATTCTCCCTTATGTGTGTAGCTTTCTCTCTGGTTCTTTGCTCTGGTACAGTACACTAAAGCCTAAAGCAACTTTTCTTTTACAAATGTTCTTGTGTATCAAATCTGTGTGCTTGTACTGCTCTGACTTCTGCTTTCTTTGAATGCTTCCACATGCTATTGGAATGTGGAAGCAATGGAGGCACATGCTTCCATCTGCCTCGACCAGTCTTCAGTTTAAAATAGCACTCCCTCAATTGGCCTGCCTTGAATCTCCAAGTTAGGTTCCATTATGTGCTCAAATAGCACAGTGTATTCCCTCTGTTACACAACTCCTCACACTTTATGTGTCTATCTCATGGTGTATTGTCTGGTAAGCTTAGTAAGGATAGGGAATCATCTATCTTCGTTTCTACTTTGTTTCTCTCTAGTGCCTGACACGTGTGGGCATAATTGACGTATTTAACAATTTCATGTTCTTGTTTTACGATTTCAGAATTAACTTGGTTTTCTTCTCTTTAGTGTCTCAATGAAATCCTGGAGTCAGCAGATGCACCTTTAGAAGTCACTGAAGGATTTATTCAGTCAATTTCTCTGTCAGTTCCATGGGGCTCTTTGCTACAGGATAATTGTGCACTGGAAGTGAAAGGGTTAGAAATGGTCTTTCGACCTAGACCACGACTAGGTAGGTGTGTTATATGTCTCTGTTTTATTTGTTTCTATTTATTCTTCAGAGATTAGGAAAGTTATGTGAGTTCATTAAATTTAGTATTTGAGTCATTGTTTTGTGTTTATAAGATTTTCAGTTGATAAAATACTAAGACTATGTAGGATATCATTCTGTCTTTGGAATTGCTTATATTCCTATTTATTCATAGAAACTTGAGTAATCAGATAATTTGGTTTGTGTAATTGTCACCAGTTATCTAAAGTGATTTGTGTTTTAAAAAGTTTTGTGTGAGAAAGCAAGGAAGAGTATTTGTAGATTGAAAATGTTAAAAGGTTACAGGATTGGGCTTTAAGGGACTTCCACTGGCCAAATCTGGGACAACTTGAGTATTAAAAAGAATAATGGATTATAATGCTGCTTCCCATGACACCCAAACTAAATACAAAACCTAAGACCATACTGATACAAATAAGTAAGTATATGAGAGGGACAGGAAGAAGGAATGCTCTTCTTTGTATAGAATACATACTTAAAAATATAGAAAAGATGGGCAGCCCCTGTGGCTCAAGGGATATGGCACCAGCCCCATATGCCAAGGGTGGTGGGTTCAAAGCTAGCCCTGGCCAAAAAACTTCAAAAAAAAAAAAGTATATATATATATATATATAAAGATGATAGAATTGATGATACATCTAGGTGAAAGGTAGTTAGTGTGAAATAACAGAATTATAATCCCAAATGCCAACCAAACTAAAGTTTAATTTATGCTTTGTAGAATTATAGTGACCTATATTTTGATAATTGGTAACATATGTATGGAAATCCCCTTTAACATTCTGGTATTGGTTGGGCGCCTGTGGCTCAAGCGGCTATGGCGCCAGCCACATACACCCAAGGTGGCGGGTTCGAATCCAGCCTGGGCCCGCCAAACAACAATGACGGCTGCAACCAAAAAATGGCCAGGCGTTGTGGTGGGCGCCTGTGGTCCCAGCTACTTGGGAGGCTGAGGCAGGAGACTCGCTTGAGCCCAGGAGTTGGAGAATGCTGTGAGCATGATGCTATGGCACTCTACCCCAGGGGGATAGCTTGAGACTCCGTCTCAAAAAAAAAAAAAAACATTCTGGTATTAAATTTATAAGAAGAATATCCTATATTTTAACCCTGATGAGTAGATGATGAGTCACACTTTCAAATATTTTCCCCTTACTTTTAAAATATTTCATTAGAAGGCCTTTTTTATTGGCAGTTGCCATTGTGTTTTATCTGGTTCAAATCTACCAGCCTTGGTGTATGTGGCCGGCACCCTACCCACTGATCTAGGGCGCTGCCTAGAAGGGCTTTTAAATTCCATTTCAGAAAGCAGTAATTCTAGTAATCCCTGTCAGTTTTGTTTTGAATAATGTGAGGAGGTGTAGAATTTTTCATGTGGGAAAATCTGGAAATGATTTTTGACAGTTCGTGTGTTTTCTTGTCCAGTGATGCTCTTCTATTTTACCTACATTTATACTAATTTCCAAAGCCCAGATCATCTAAAATCCCTCAGTTTAGAAGATTAACCCCTTAGCTTTCACCATGGTAAGAAAGCTCAGTAGTTGCCTACTACTTCTTCTTAATCTTATCTTATTTTTTTCACTATAAGTTCTCTGAGGGGAGAATTCATAATTATTTTTCTCTCCCCTACAGCAGGGTTAGCAGACTATGGCCTGCAGGCAGAACTGGGCCTGACCTGACACCTGTTTCTGTAAATAAAAGTTTGTTGGAACCACAGCCATACTTATTTACTTAATAATGGCTGCTTTTGCATTAGTGTGTGAGAGTTGGGTAGTTTTGATACATATCATATGGCCTGCAAGTCTAAATTATTTACTATCTGATCCTTTACAGAAAAAGGTTGTTAATCTTAGGATTCCCACTAAATAGTTGTTGAATAAATACATGAATTAATATCTGGTAAAAATATAACAATGTAATGGGAATACATGTCTCTGGGCTTCTTTCTGTGTTTTTTTCTTTTCTTTCTTTCTTTCTTTTTTTCTCAATTATAGGGTAATTTTTAAATCTCAAGAGTAATTTTAAAGGGCTGGGCGCAGTGGCTCATGCCTGTAATCCTAGCACTCTGGTAGGCTGAGGCAGGTGGATTGCCCAAGCTCAGGAGTTCAAGACCAGCCTGAGCAAGAGTGAGACCCCTGTCTCTGAAAATAGCTGGGCATTATAGTGGGCAGCCTATATTCCCAGCTCCTGGGGAAGGCTGAGACAAGAGAATTGCTTGAGCCCAAGTGTTTGAGATTGTTGTGAGCTGTGACGCCATGGCACTCTCCCGAGGGTGACAAAGTCAGACAATGTCTTTAAAAAAAAAAAAAAAAGTAATTTTAAGAATTTCATTTGCCTGAGTGGTAACATCATGATATTAAACTTCTCATAGGGAATTAAGGATTGATCTCTGAGGCTGGGCATGGTGGTTCACATGTGTAATGCTAGTACTCTGGGAGGTCAAGATGGGAGAATCCCTTGAGCTCAGGAGTTGGATACCAGCCTGAACAAGAGTGAAACCTCATCTCTACTAAAGATAGAAAAATTAGCTGGTTAATAGTGCTAGGCACCTGTAGTCTCAGTTGTTGGTAGGCTGAGGCAGGAGGATTGTTTGAGTCCAGGAATTTTGATTGAGGTTTATATGAGCTAGGCTGACGCCATGGCACTCTAGCTTGGGCAACAAAGTGATCCTCTGTCTCCGAAAAAAAGAAGCTATTTGAATTTTTTTTTTTTTTTTTAAAGGAAATAGTGTAGGGCTGTCCCTGTGGCTCAAAGGAGTAGGCCACCAACCCTATACGCCAGAGGCCAGAGGCGGTGGGTTCAAACCCAGCCCTGGCCAAAAACTGTAAAACAGACAAACAAACAAAAAAAGGAAATAGTGTTTGCAGCACCTGTAGCTCACTGGAGCTGGTGGGTTCCAGTACAGTCCTGGCCTACCAAACAACAACAACTATAACCAAAAATATCCAGGAGTTGTGGTGGGCGCCTGTAGTCCCAGCTATTTGGGAGGCTGAGGCAAGAGAATTGCTTAAGCCCAAGAGTTTGAGGTTGCTGTGAGCAGTGACACTAGGGTAGTCTACCCAGGTTGACAGCTTGAGACTCTGTCTCCAAAAAAAAAGAAAAAGAAATAGTATTGTAACTCTCAGAAATTTAGGATTAATTTATATTTTATGCAGCAACTGGTTCTGAGCCTATGTATTGGTCAAGTTTTATGACTAGCAGCATGCAACTGGCAAAAGAATGTCTTAGCCAGAAACTCACAGATGAACAAGGAGAAGGATCCCAGCCTTTTGAAGGACTTGAAAAGTTTGCAGAAACCATTGAAACAGGTTGGTATTATTAAACATTTTTAAAATTTTCAACTTTAGTAATTCTGTACCTTTATTTAATGAACCTTGTATAAGGCGTATCATTGGAGTGCTTTTTAAAAGAATTACTGTTATAATTTAAGAATTTCAGAATTGAGGTTAAAATATTGTTTTAAGTTTAATTATTTGCTGTTTCTTTTGCACTTTTAATACAAAGATTATAATCCAAAAGATAGTGTTAGTCTCAGGTGTCTGTTGAGATGTAACGTGGGTAAATGCTCAGTAAGGCAAAACATTTCTTACAATTCTGGGATTTAGGGACTTGAAAGGAAAGAAATTCAGCTTCTTTGTTTTGTAAGTTCTTATCAAACTAATACTTACGCTTTTCAATGTAGTTTTTATTTAGTTTTATTTATTATACATATGATCTCTTATATTAATGATTTGTTTACTGTAGTACTAAGAAGAGTAAAAGTCACTTTTATAGACACTGTTTTGAGAATTGAACATGTGCCAGAAAATTCCAAAACTGGAACTGCACTTGAAATTCGAATAGAAAGGTAAGAAGTATTCTTACATCTGAAAACAAATGACCCTGTTGTAACTCTCAATTTAAGTTTTGGGGTGCCTTTGGAGATTAGAGGTGATATTAAATTAAAATACTGCATAATTTTAAAGTACTACTCTCCAAGTTATATTCTAATCTGATTATTAAAAACTCAAAATACAATTGAGGTATAGTTTTATATAATCCTATGTTGAATTCAAAGCAAGTAATTCTGTTTTGGTTGCTGTCAAATTAAAATAATGTGTATTTGGCTGCTAAATATAAAGCACACCTGTGGGAGAGTTTTCATTTTTTTTTTTTCACGTGAGAGCAATGCAATATTTAGGCAGGTTCCATTAATGTGAAAGACTTGCTTTGCTCCCACTTGCCTCCCTTGCAGGGATGGGGAATCCCTAGCCTTAAGGAAACAAGTGTCTTTCTTATTCCTTAAGTGTGGCCTTTTGTATCCAAATTTTATATAACAAATCCTGTTATTAAAAGGGGTGTGGCAGAAAACTGGTGAAGCTTTTCTTGCCTCCTTTGGTGCTTGTTGCTTAAAAAATAACAATCTTGTTGTGGTAGGTACTTGGGAGGCTGAGGCAAGAGATTTGCTTAACTCTGAGAGTTTGAGGTTGCTGTGATGCCACTCTTGAACAATCTTGGAAGTCAGAATTGCTACAGGCCACCCCGGCACCCGTGGAAGGCCACTATTTTTCTTTCTTTCTTTCTTTCTTTTTTTTTTTTTTTTT